TTCCTGTCCCGCAGGGAATCACTGTCCACGTTTATAAAGCTGCACAATCTTCTAAGACTCCAACTAAGAAAGCACAAAAAGTGCTTTCACCGCTTAAATCACAAATACAGATATTAAATTTACTTAAGAAATCCGACTTTAAAAGGGGATGCAAACACCAAAATTAGTCTAGATTTTGGGGATAAATGCCACATTACGGTATGATTATTAAGTTATCGATTCTAGAAGATATAGCTAGATAATAAACACTGTATTGAGGCCTCGAGGACAGATGGTTACTGTCCTCCTTTATCTCATGTGACACTCGTGCTCATAGAAAGCTCAGCGAGGCATGTCAGTGTGCTTTGATAAACAACACACAAAAAACCTTAAGGCAAAAGTCAATTTTAATAAAAATGACTCATATAACATTTATTTAAAATCTAATAAAATTACGAGTTTAAAATTACTTCCTTCAGGGACCATGTGTGTGGTGCCAGGGTCCCATGTGAAAAGTAATAGCAGCTTTCATCATTGTTAGTAGATGAAGCGGCAGACGTCCTATCAACCTTCTTCCTTTTGTTATTTCCGCCGGTTGCTCTTCTCGTTCCTGCCGCGGGTCTCTTTCAGCCCTCGCTCAAGCTGTTTGTCAACAGTGCAAGCAGATACGTAAACAAGGGACACACACGATTCGAACAGCAGGAACGGATGATCTGAAGCCGCAACAGGCAGGTTAAAGTAATCTACAGATGCGTCTGCTGTGTCGTGTGTGTGTGTGTGTAGTCAAATATATCTTTAAAACATGTTTAAGATATGGCATTGTTTGTTGTTTTAAAAGCCTTGTATCCAGCCAGCTGGATTGCGTGCTGGAGACGTGCACAATGCCATGCCCATTAAAACAAAGTGTGTGTGTGAGAGGTTTCTCATGTTAGGTGTATCGCAATGAAAGGTTAACAGTTCTGTTAAATGTAGAAGGAACTGGTGAGGAGGGAGTTTTATGTCCCCATATCCCTAGATAAAGTTTATATTATAGGAAAAGCAATCGAGATCAGATTCAGATCGATACACTCAGCATGTCTGTATGTTAAATACCAGCCAGCTGAGCACGAAACTGAAACAGGTGGAAACAAACCTGGCACCTGTACAAGGGTCACTCATTCATCCATTCCTGTTCATTGGTTGTTTTTTAATTTACGAAACATGGCATGTCTGGTTTTTATGGCCTAGTCGAATGTCTGGTGTCAGGTCAAGCTGTTGGACTCCCTCGGCAGACTTCCGGTAAGGACTCGGCGCGGTCCCCGCTACACCCGGGCCCGCTCAAACAACACCGAGTGTTGGTACCGTGTGGTGCTACAATAGTTTCCTTGTCCGACTCCAAACCACACGACCAAGAATGTGGGCGTTTAAGATCAGAGAGGGGGATTTTCACCTTTGGACGCGAGAGCCAAGGCTGTTTCCCCCTCGTCTTACATGTCTGTATGCTGAGCTAACAACTAACCGGTGCTGCGCCTTCAGCTTGCAGCGTATTTAGGCCAGGAATACAAGGATGCGGTTATACCAATCATTGGTTGATGAGTGATCTAGTACGTCTCCGGTGAAAGATTCATACAAGCAGCAGATTTTCTCAGAAAGCCGAGCTGATTCCTTTTTAAAGAGCGCTCTAGCCAGAAGGACGAGAAAAGCTGTCCGAGACGAGGAGTGTGGGTGTTGTACGTGTGTGGTGTGTTGTGTTGTGTGTGAGCTGTGTGTCCTTTGCTTTTCTTGCTTGAAAAAGTGTTGCAGACTGGGGAGGGTTTTGTTAACACAGAGGGTTGCTCAACACATCAGTCTGACCGTCATGTAGTAGAATACTCAATGCTACCTCTCCACCCTCCCCGCAGAATAACAGATGGTCCACATTAAATAGAAAATAAAAAAAGAAAACAATATAATCAACCATTTTCCTTACCAGCTTACGCCTGAACAAGGTTCATGAATGGATAAAAGAGTCATGTGTGCTTGGGACTTGTTGTGTGTGTGTGTGTGGGTCGTTGCTCATGCAGGGATAGAAGGGTCTCCAGAAGTTTTTCTAAGGAAGAAACTTGAAATTAAAAACACAGCGTGGAATTGGGTCAAAAATATCAGTATCAGTCTTCTTTCAGAACCAACATGATCTGCGGAGGTGAATTCTGTCTTGAAAGCTTTATGCGGATAGTTTTGGCCATCATCGGAGGGCAACCCATCTGTTCTGCAAGAAGGTACGACAAAACAAATCGGGTTGGTGAGATTAGAATAGAACTCTAACAACACGGGCTTATTTCAGCTTTACTCTTTTCTCGCTGGAACATACACACCACGTATTACTTGCGTTTGAACCTGTGGTGTCCCGGCTAGCGTGTCCTCTAGCTCTCCTAGCCTCACCTCGCTCTCTGCCTCTCTCTTCTCCTTCCTCTCTGGTGCACACACCCATCAGCTGAGAAGCGAGACGACTTGGCAGAGAGAAGGGTAAGTTTGGGAGGAAGAGAGCAGAAGCTAACCAGAGGTAAATCATGTGGCCAGCTGGTTCTTATTGGGTGGGAAGAGGAACACCATGGAAGAGACAAAAGGTTGGAGTTATATAGTTTCGCATTTTATCGTTACTATTAGTTTCCGACACTCCTCAGTTCTTAGTTTATTTTTCCTTGTCTTAACATTTATTAACGAAACAAGGACAATAAGTTTATCATATTATGTTATATTTTTTATTTTAATATTTTAGTGTTTTCTAATCGTTTCAGTTTTTCCCACATAAAAGAAAATATCAATTTTAATAATTCAGTGAACTAAAAAATGTGCTTGCTTCTTATAGGTAAAGACTTATTAATACTGATAAGCGTGACTGGTACTCCGCAACACTGCAACTTGGAATCGTGCTCGAGAACTACAGAGAAGAACGTTATCACATTTATGTGGATATAATCCGGGCCGTAGGGTATACACTAATGAAATTAGCGTAACTTTCAACTATAATGTTGCGATTCAACTACGTTTCTCAACAAACGTGCCAGCAAAAATAATGAAAAATGCCAATCGCAACTCTTTTAATGAAACAAGTCTATGTTAAAAATCTGCTTCGAGGTGTTGATCAAAAGCAGTATAATAGTTATATCAGTTTACAAAAACACAGCTCCAAAGAAAACAGAAAACGCTCGGAGCAGTGAATGTTCAGAATTTTTGGCTTCATAATATAACATTAAAAATGATAAAATTTTAATAAGTTGATTAAAAAATCTTGCAAAGTACCGTGAGCAGTGGTTATCGAAGCACTAAAATTATGGCTTGAATTATATCCTTAAAGGTTTTTAAAGCTATATATTTCAATATTAATTCATGAAGAAGTGAGTAATATAGGTTGTTTGTAAGAACAATTAACACTGCGCAGGATAAAAATATGACATAAAAACACATTAATAATAATCCGTTAATTAATAAATGTTAATTAACTGACCTGAGTAACTACGACAGAGTGTAACTGGATGTTTGGGGGGTTTAGTGTTTTTATATGGTCTCAATTAAACCTTTTAAATGTCTTATATTATCTTGTTTATATCTACATTTAGTTGTGTGCATGTTATCCTACCAACAGGCGATCTGAGGCGTAGAGTGATCGGCTAAAATACAATAACATTTTCCGGGACAATCTAGATTATTTCCAGGATATTTGGTCGTTTCCAGGACTGGAAAACTAGACTCCAACTTTCCAGGTTTTCCAGGACTCGTAGGAACCCTGAATTTTATGTATTTGTAGATGAAATCTATCTCAACAGTTGTAACTTCATTGCTAATGTTAAGCCTGTAAGACAGAGCTGATGACGTCCTGTATGTGCAGAGCGTCTCGGCTGCTGTACTGTGAATGTTGAGACATTGTTATCAGGCGATGCAGCGCGGCTCTCACTTGATGGGAGCTGCGGCCGCGGTGGAGGCTGAGGACGAACCACTAATGGTACCGAACTTCTCCTGACGCCGGCGGACGTCACGCGGCGGCTTGGCGACAGAATTCACAAACGCCATCTTAACCTGGCGACCTGCGGAGACAAACAACACTCACACTGAAACACTCAGAGACCTTAATGAGTACATTAACTTTCAGCATCAATCGCTGACATTTCTGTAGAAGTTAATGTCACTTTCGGTCACTTTTTAGTGCCGATTAATATAAAACAGGCAAAAAGTAACAAGGAGGGTTAACAGAGGAGTTATTTCAGATCCCACACTTTAGTTTCTCCGACCTTTTGGCTTGTTGGCGTGTGCGGAGGAAATGTTCTGGGTGAGCAGCCTCAGACGCTCCTCGCGCTCGTCGTGCAGCCTCAGGTACATCTCCCTCCACGACTCGTACTCCTGAGGAGTCTCCCGCTTAAAGTCCCGCTGACAGTGACGCATCCACAGCTCGTCAGATTCCTCCGTAAACCACTGAAAGGAAAGGGAGCTCTCTACTCATTCTGACAACACGAAGGATGTGAGGAAGAAACAGCATCACCATGTGTTTCTGTATCGACTGTATAAACTGTGTTTGGGTCGTTTATATATTTTAATGTCTTGTAAAAGTATCATTGTTCTGTTATTTTTGTCAGCATTTGGGAACTTACTGTTTTTATTGACAAACACAATAACTTTACTCTTTATGTTGCTGGAGTTTTATTTTTTATTTTTTTCTAATTTTGACAAAAACT